CCTGGAGGCATCAAAAAGTGCAAAAAACTTTCAAATAAAACGTCCTGACCTGCGTTTATATAGTAGATTAAATAAGAGTCAGGCTGTCGTACAATTTTGCCAGAATAGAGACTTATTAAAAAAAATATTGATTTGAGTTGACATGTTACAGTTTAGATCCATGTTGGAAAACGACGACATGACAGAAAATGTTTTGAGCGGTTCAGGATCACCTCGCCGCTCACCTCTGTGTGAAGAGCACCAGAAAACTAAAGCAGCTAAATCAATTAAAATCCCATTAAAGTCAGCACCATTATTGAGGTCATTACCGAGGGGGCGAGACGCCTGATGATGACGGTGGATCAAACAAAATCTAATTAATTCATTTATTCATTAACACGCAGCTCTAATGCAGGCATGGTAAGAGAAATTCAGCAAATCCACAGAAACATCAAAACTTGACATGAGACGGAAACTATGAATATGAGACGTGAACATTACATCAAAGGCGAGTTATTGGCTGCTTTTCAAAGGACGCTGAAACACATGGACACTTCCTGGCTGCACAAAGGACTGCTGCTTTCCTCTAACATGCACACTAGGTGTCAGACTGGCTGCAGAGAAAGGCGAGGAGTGAAAATAAGCAGAACAAGAGGCTGAAAGAGGGTGAGAGAGGGTGAGCATCACAGTCTGTTTCTCTGCTCCATCTCCCACCAGTGGAGCCCCGATAAGAGAGCAGCAGACATTAATGTTTGGTATTGATCCCCTCTCGAATGGCTTGGGGACCAGAGGCCAAGGAAATGACAGAATCATGTAGCCTCCTCAGCCTGGAGATGTGAAGAGGTGTGTGAGTTTCAGTTTTTAGAGGGCAAAAGAGAGACAAAAGGGTTTTAAAAAATGAGGCAGAAAGAGTTGTGTCAGCTGTGTCGTTTGCTTATTTGCGTGCAGAAGACAAAAACTGAAAGAAATGTACACATCTCTAACCTCAAAGCACTTGCTGTATTCTCTTTTTATTCCACGTTTGAGCACTAAACTCTGCATGAATCCAAATATGATGGATGAAATGAAAGATGAGCTCTTTACATTGAGGGGAACATAATTATTATTATTTTTATTATTTCACGGGCTGCAGACGTGTCCCTAACAGGAGGACTCTTATCTCTCTTATTTGCTATTAAACAATTCCTTGACATCAAGCAGGATTTGATTTGAAGTTAGGCTGAGCTGTAGGGGTTTGGGTCACAGGCCGAGGCAGACAGAGACCCAGGTTAGATGAAGAAGAACAGGCGAACTGATTGGACGTGACAGGAGCAGTGTCTTCCTCCTCTGCAACACAGAGAGACTCCCAAATGAAAATTTATACGGCATGGCGCCAGAGGCAGACCTTCACAGGCTGGAGACGGCCGCTGGTCAGTCAGACTTTGGTGAGCCTCGGTGCACATGTGCACACATTAAGACACATAAGCATACACACAGATTAAAGGTAAATAGAATCCAGCCTCAGCTGTTGAAAAATTAAGCCAATACGGAGGTGCAAAAAGCTGCTGTTCCTCGATTGTCCACTTGAGGCAGGCTGAAAAAGTAAAAGAATTCACATCAGGTCGTATATAAAAACAAGAACAAAGAAATTAGCTATAAAGACCTTTTGTTTGTACAAGGCTGTAAACATGTTTATTTCAACTATTCATATATTTGCATGATTGGGGGCGGGGCTGAGTTGATTGACAGGTGTTTGCATTGTAGCTGTTTGCCAAAAGGTTTAAGTTCCACATCAACTCCACCCCTTAGCTGGTTCCTAGATTGAAAAAATACATTTTCCAATATGGGGGCCGCCATCGTTGGGCTTACTTATACTATATGTTGTAACTTCAATCCATCCATCCATCCTTTTTTTCTTACGCTTATCCAGGTACAGGTTGCTGTGGCAGCAGGCTAAGCGAGTTGCCCCAGACTTCCCTCTCCGCAGCATCATTTCCCAGCTCCTCCTGGAGGATCCCAAGGCGTTCCCAGGCCAGATGGGAAATGAAATCACTCCACTGAGCCCTGGGTCTACCTCTGGGTCTCCTCCCAGTTGGACGTGCCTGGAAAACCTCCAGGAGGCATCCTGATCAGCTGCCTGAACCCTCCCTCCAGATGTCCTATGCTCCTCAGCCTTTCTCTAATTTTTTAACTTTCAAAATGGTTTAACAACAAAAGAATGAACCTTTTAAAGCTGCCTTTTCGGTTTTTGTTGGCATGTAGAAGCCACATTATCACCTTACCATCAGTTTCTGCCGCTGCTGTTGCTAGGCAGAAAAGGCTTTACTTCCAACTCTGTGATTGGTGGTCCTGTAAAAAAAAGAAAACACAGGGCACGTTAATACTAATTAAAAAATGACCAATAACAACAACCCTTACAAAGTGGGCTTAAAGCAAACTGTGCTTGAGGTTAAACTAGCTAGCTTTTTCTCACAATGCCACGGGTAAAGTTACGGTTATGTTATTGTTATGCCGTTAACAACCTGAACACTAGTGCTAGATTGCACTGGTGCTAATATACCCCACAGTAAATATTTTTGGTTAGATACCCTTACCACTTATTGTTCTTGAGGTGTTTAATGGGAGCTTATAGGTCCCCTCTCCTCTAAAACAAACAGATCTGGTAATTTAACAAACAGAAAAACACTGAACAAAGCAGCCTGATGGTGAAAGTCTGTGTCTCTCCCAAAGGAATGAAGCAAACACAGCAGAGAGAAAAAAGTCAAACAAATCTTCTCCATGTTCATGTATTTATTTATGATCTTTCTCAGTCTCTACACGACGTATGCATTTACAGCTTTTCTCATTCATCCTCTTAGTTTGTGATGGGATGGAATAAAAGATGAAACAGTCTTCTTTCTTTTGAGAGATGAACTTTGAATGTATACTGTCTCCTTTATGAGACAGGCGTTCATTTATTCAAACCTGCAGCAAGGACCTGCTAGTAAAAGGGACTCGGTTAAATTGTAATCGGCTCCTATTTGATGCTTCACAGTAACTGAAATTTGGACAGACTGTGGATCAGAGTTGTTACAAAAAGGCAGGCTTCATATTTCTGTTCAACTTTGCTTTTGTGGTAATTTTGTGGCTTGTGTGGTAATAATATAAATATATATTTTAATCGAGTCACAGCACAGAATATTTAGCTTTGGTCGTGTGGCGGGACACATAAAGCTAATATGTGTGTCAACACACTATGTTGTGTACAATGGAGCTGCAAACAGTCCGCACCACTGTCCGCTCCACAGCACACCACAAATACAGCAAGCAGGCATGACGCAGTAAACAGATCTGCACAAGCAGCGAACATATTGTCAGTCAAATATGTTTCTTTGGTCGGGTGGGTAAGCTCAATTCAAGCTGCTTTTTTATGATTTATTTTTAGGCTTTTTGGGGCCTTTAATGTAGAGATAGGACAGTAGAAAGAGTCAGAAATCAGGAAGAGAGAGAGTGGGGAAGGAAGCCACAGGTTAGATTCAAACCCTGGTCGCCCGCTTGGAGGACAACAGCCTCTGTACATGGGACGTGCGCTCGACACTACCAGTGCCCTAATTTTAACTGGCTTTTAAAAAGCTGCTGCAGATCGCTGCCAGTGAAATCCCTCTCCCATGTTGAAACTTGGACCAGTGTTATGTTTGCAGAGAAAGGCTCAGGGTGTGATGTCACTGGACAGGGTGTACAGTGAATGAAGATAATGCAATCCTGTTTACAGCATAGCAGTACCAGCCACACACACACACACACACACACACACACACCACCGACCACTAACATCCTTCCCAGGAAAAAAACATGTTTATGCAAAGAGGAAATGTAATATCCCTAATGCAAATCTGAATCAGTAAATAGTGATTAACTGGTATTGAACCGACCACAGTCCTGGTGTTGTGCAGAGCTCCCAGCAGGCCTTGTTTTTCTTTATGGGTTATTTTTTGCCTGGCATGAATCACAGGTACATTTCTCAACCAAAACCACACACACACACACACACACACACACACACACACACACACACATGTACACACACGTACACACACACACACACACACACACACACACACACACACACACACACACACACACACACACACACACACACACACGTACACACACGTACACACAGCTAAGTCCTGAATGTGGAAAATGGAAGAGTGTTTGGTTGATTTGTCGTAAACAGATTTGACGTAAAGTACACTCCATTCACCAAGTAGTGTTTGATTAACGACTGGCAAGAGAGAAGGAAGCAGCCAAGGAAAGAGTGCACACTGAGGAATAAGAAAAAAAATGGATGGTAGGAGGAGGAGAATGAGCTAAATGAGAGGAAATGGGTATGATGTTTGACGGGCGCTGCAGTGAGAGAGAGGACGTGGAGAGGGTGGAGGAGTATGCCAGAGAGACGAGTTTATGTGCTGGATGTTGAAAATTGACTTTGAGTGGCACTACTAGTGTTGGGGAAGCTACTTGTAAAATGTAGTGAGCTAAGCTTCCAGTTACTCTGAGCGTCACTACACTGAAGATACCTCCCGAGAAATATAGCAGGCTGAGCCACAGAAACAGGGACAATTAGCTTAAGCCATTTTACATTTAAATTGAGACACAGTTATTTATAATACACCTACATACATTTGAAGCCTTTTACAGAAATGTAACATTTAATCTAGAAACATGCTTTTATTTTGAAAGGGAAAATTAACTTTCAGCTGTTCAAACGTTATGACTGTGACTTTTTAGTGGAAAAAAGACATAACGGATTTGCAAGTGAAACATTTAAGAGTGGGTTGTGTCATTTGGACGACTTTGTAAAACACATTGCTGATAATTATTTCCTACAGAGCAATTTACAGATAACTGCACGGAGACTTGCAGACTGAGTGTGTGTGTGTCTGTGTGTGGAGAAGAGAACTAAATTAGGTTTACTCCCACCTTATCATCTCTACTCCAATCAGACTTTAAAACCAGAAACAGGCTCAGAAAGCTCCGCCCTGTTTATGACTCAGCACACACCAACCAGGAAACAGACTCAGTCTTTTTCTCCGTGGATCCAAACACAGTGGCACCCAAGGACAGAAGATAATCCGAGAAATAAACAATACAGCCTCCACAGACTGAGAGGACAGCTTCTGGAGGGAATACTGGGACTACTGGAATACTGAAACTTCACCTGTTACTGACGGCACACGGTACAAAGCTTTAGAAAACACAAGTGTCAAAGTGAAAGTAAGTTTCAGAAAGCTCGGAGAAGGAGGGAGTGAAACCTGAGCTGTCTGACCAGTTTGAGCCGGCTGCCTGTCCAGAGTTTTACTTCACTTAGAGGAAAATGGCGTCTTTTCCCGAGGAGGATCTGTGCTGTTCTGTCTGCCATGACGTCTTCAAAGAACCAGTGATTCTGTCATGCAGCCACAGCTTCTGTAAAGCCTGTCTGCAGAGCTGGTGGAGAGAGAAGCCGACCCAGCAGTGTCCAGTCTGTAAGAGAAGATCTTCAAAGATTGAACCACCTTGTAACTTGGTATTAAGGAACCTTTGTGAGGCCTTCTTAATAGAGAGAGATCAGAGAGCTTCATCAGACTCTGAGGCTCTCTGCAGTCTGCACTCTGAGAAACTCAGACTGTTCTGTCTGGATCATCAGCAGCCAGCGTGTCTTGTCTGCAGAGACTCTAAAAAACACACCAACCACACATTCAGACCCATCGATGAAGCTGCACAAGATCTCAGGGAAGAGCTCCAGGAATCACTGAGGCCCTTAAAAGACAAACTGGGGCATCTTTTGGATGCCAAGGAAAATTGGGATGAAACAGGTAAACACATCAAGGCTCAGGCTGCAAACACAGAGACGCAGATACAGAAGCAGTTTGAAAAGCTTCACCAGTTTCTAGAAGAGGAAGAGGAGGCCAGACTCTCTGCACTGAGGGAGGAAGAGAAGCAGAAGAGTCACTGGATAAAGGAGGATTTGAAGGCTCTGAGCAGAGAGATAGCAGCTCTGTCAGAAACGGTTAAAGCCACAGAGGACGAGCTGAGAGCTGAAGACGCCTCATTCCTGAAGAACTACAAGGCTACAGTGGAAAGAATTCAGCAGAGCCCCCTGCTGGAGGATCCACAGCTGCCCTCAGGAGCTCTGATAGATGTGGCCAAACACCTGGGCAACCTGAGCTTCAGAATCTGGAACAAGATGATGAACATGGTCTCCTACAGTCCTGTGATTCTGGACCCAAACACCGCTGGTGCAGACCTCAGTCTGTCTGAAGATCTGACCTGTGTGAGACGAGGAGAGAGGCAGAATGTTCCTGATAATCCAGAGAGGATTAAAAATTGGTCTGTCCTGAGCTCTGAGGGCCTCAATGCAGGGACTCACAGCTGGGATGTCGAGGTTGGACAGAACACATGGTGGGACGTGGCCGTGTGTGAGGAGCCTGCAAACAGAGTAGAAGACATAGACTCTGGATTATGGAGAATATCCTTTGATGGTGATCAGTACAGAGCATGCAACCCGTCACTTCATCGCGTAGATCTGTCAGTGAGAGGACGACCTCAGAGGATCAGAGTGTATCTGGACTGGGACAAAGGAAAGCTGTCGTTCTCTGATCCTGACACCAACACACACATACACACCTTCACACACACTTTCACTCAAAAGCTGTTTCCATACCTTTGGACTTTTGAATCACATCCTCTGGAGATATTACCAGTGAAGCTCTGTGTAACGCGCCAGAGGTAGGGGTGCTGCAGCGACCCCCAAAATCATGTTCCACTAATCCCATCAGCTTTAAAAACAATTAAAAAACTACAGTTTTTCATGATATGTCGACATATAGTAGTCGACACTGACTGGTGTGATCGCTTTTTTAGCAGTCTGTATGTTGTTTATAACGCCTCACACACCTCACACATTGAAGTGTTTAGAAGAGGTTTTAAATGCAGTCATAGCCATCAAATCAGTTTGATTATGCTGTCATACTAGGCAGATTAACTAGATGCTACCCTATATTTTAAAGTTAACTTGACTATTCTTTTAAAAGCTTTAGAACAACTTCTGATGTTGCCAAAATCCAATTTACCTAAAGATGCACCACTCAGCTCTGCTGCTCACTTTTGTCTTGAATTGAGGAGTTGCACTGCATAAGGTTTATTTACTAAACATGAGATATGTCTTGCATATAGAGAGTATGTACATGACGTCATGTTAGGCGACTGCACTTAGAGCCAGTCGGTGGCAGAAAGTTCGTACTGCTGTCAGGAATCAATAAGAAGAGAGCGAAAATGGATTTAATTCAGCTGAAAAGTTCAGTCTTTTCTGTAAATGAGTCTCTTGATGATCTTCTCTGTGGGCAATAAATCCTCAGCTGATGTAAAGTTTTTATAAAAAGGATTCACAAGGTTGCGTTGATGAAGTCACAGGAGGAAGCCATGCGGTTACAGGATCACATACTGTAAACAGTCCATGCATATACATCACATCATGGAGCTTGCATTCTAACCTACACATGATTGATTGATAATATAATCAGAACACCCCCTACTGATATCTTGTGTTGACGTTTTTATCAATCTGCCCTCTTCTCAAATCAATGAAGGTTAAGGACATTTTATTCTGCTAGCTGTATGATGTTTGATTTGCTTGTTGTGATCAGTTTCTTTGCTAAAGGGGACATATTATGAAAAAAACACTTTTACAGTGTTTTGAACATAAATTTGGGTAACCTGAGTGTCTACAGACCCACAAAATGTGAAATAAACCCATCCTGTCCTTTGTTTGTGGTCTGCTTAAGTCTTACAACACAGAGAAAAATGCTCCATTTCTAATTTGCTCTCCTTGTGACATCACAGTGGGATTCTGGTAAAAAATAATATCCCCTCTCCTGATATCTTCACCCATGGACTCCACCCCCAACCTAGAACAAAACTTTTGAGCAGGTCCACCATTTTTATTCTCGCTAGTGAAGGAGTGATGTCTACTGGGAAAACTCAGGGGGCTCATTGCATTTAAAGAGACACACACACCAAAACAGAGCGTTCTGAGAGAGCTGGTTTATACAGAGTCACAAACCTCCTCTGGTGCTTGATTCATGTTATAGCATCAAAGTTTCATTTAGACCACAGGGGACTGTTTGAAAAGCTGGAGAAGTGGAATAATATGTCCTCTTTAAATACCATGTAAACAGCTCGTGTGTGGTGAATTCATTGAATGGATTTTTTTAGCTGTGTGAAGAAACAGAACATTTCTGGCAATCATTGAAGTCACGATGACAACGTGTAATAAAAGGCAGAGATTATGTTGGTGTGTGTGTTATCTATTTAAAGGTGTTTTAGGGAAAAAGTGTTTTTTATGTAAGATACATTGACCTTATTGTATTTAAAAATTTATAATTTGTACAATTAATATAATATTATAAATGTGTAACCTTCATGCTGAGAATGTTTACCTTATGGTGACTTTTTAGAAACTCCATATTTGACATAATGTTGGGCCTCATTCAACAACCGTCCTGAAGAAATAATGTTTTCTTAAATCCTACTTACAAACTTTTATAAAAGGTTCTGGGATTCATCGTTTTCTTATGTGGAATTTCTTCTTAGGTAAGAACACAATTTATGAACACTCAAGATAAACTCTGACGCACATCTGAGTCCTGACCGGCTCGTGCTAAATGACCGATTATTGCATTTTAGTAAAATCAATAAAATACACATGACACTTCAATTCAAATTCACACACATTAATTATGTTTATTGCATCCCATGCATCTTTTTTTGTAACCATTCCTCACACTGCTGAATGTTTTGATTTTCTAGTTTGACCCATGTCCAATCTGTTAACATGGAGGCATGTGCTATACTGCAGCCTGGCAGTAAGTGGAGCTCCAAACGTTTTAGCTTCACTCTTAGGAAGCTCTCATGTCTTCCATTTTTTATACAGATCATGGACTTTGAAAAATACAAAGGTAAATCTACTGTTACTCTGATTTAGAAAACAGATGCACTACCAGCAAGCTACTGAAAATATATTCAAACTGCTAACTGAGTCATGCTGTTAACGCTCCACAGTACTGTGAGTCTCCTACTCTACTCCTACTTTGTTACACACACACACACGCACTCACTCACACACACACACACACACACACTTACAGAGACGCACTCACCCACACACACTCTCACTCTCCATTGGTCAGGCCGAGACCAAAGGTGGCTGAGGTTGCCATGGCGACATCCCACCAGAACGGTAATTACAATTAGCATCCCATCTAAATGACCACCTCTCCCTCCTCTCCTCCTGTGTCTCATGGGTAATTACAGACTTCAGCTCAGCTCAGGCGAGCACTGCAGTTGGCCTCTTTTTTTATTTCACAGCTAAATAATCCAGTCTGGAAACAATGGAGGTAAAAAAAGAAAGAAAGAATGATTTTCTTCAAGGCCAAGAGGCTCTTTGCTGTTTTACATCATGTTAATGTTCCCGTGTTTTCATCAGCTTTATAATCAATATGCGGCGCACATTTGTGCAGTGAACTGATCACCAAAACAACTTCCTTATTCATGCATTCACTACTCAGGCCCGCTGAAAGAATCATACATAGTGTTTTGATGATACATTTTATTAACATGAGCTCCTGCCGCATAGACGCTGTCTAGGAGGGACTCTGTGTGGTGGCTGCAAAATGAAAGAGCAGGTAGAATTCCAGGTTACAAAGGTGTGTGGTGTCTTTACTTGTCTGTTATCGCAGGAGAGGAGGAAGAGAAGAAGAGAGGAGGGAAGACTGAGACCCTCTCTGTATGTTCAGGCTGAAAAAGAGGATCATGTCGCAGCATGTGCAGCGGTCAAGGAGTCAGAGGAACTGAGAGTGATACAGTGATAAGGAGAGTGAGTGAGACACAGCAGAGTGGCAGAGGGGGTCAATGCATTTTGGTCGCAGGAATTAGAAAAATTAAGGAGGAGTGAGGATATGCAAAAATGGGAGGATGACTCCAAAGCATGTTTAACTCCTCTGAAGCTGACTGTTTCAATACGTCATGTTGGAGCTTGTTTCTGAAGAGAAGAGTTTCACTTGATCGATGACGTCTCAAGCTTCATTAAACAGTTAGACAGTTCAGAAAGTTTGGATGATTAGTAGAACTTAATCATATCTACTTGATTAGTAATCTCTATATACAGATTCTACATTTCAACTCTAGAATCTGAACTCAGGGGTCTGGACTTCAGTCAGGAAAGTGTTCTGGTTTCTGTTTATAGTTTGTAGTTCAAGTAGTATTGACCAATCACATATCAGTAGGATTTGGTGTATGCAAGTCAAAGAGTCCGTGGAGAGCAATAGCTGGCGTGTTGAATCCACCATAATGAAGTCCCGGCTCCCATTGGCAGGAAATGACGAGAATTTATTAATCTCTAACCAGATATCTGCATGAAAGTTCAGTTAACAGTTTGTGTTGGATCAGAAATTTTAAGTTGACTGAACAATCTGCTTGATGGTGTGTCAGTGTTTCCCAACTTCCTAGAATGCAACCTCCATTCAGCAGTCAATTTAAAACTAGCTTTCTTCTCCTCTTGAGGAAAGACCTGACAATGCATCATGATGTTTTAAATCAGCAAACTTAAGACCTGTTAGTAGCAAGTAACTCGCAGAAAATCCTGTTTCCTTTTGGGTTCATGCAGCTGCAGTAAACCGGTGAAAAAATATTCAAAGCTTTATGGCCACCATTATGCGAACACAGGGACATCTGATTTCTTGTAAAACTCACTGTGTAACTTACTATTTACAGTTAAACTGAGACTCACCAGAAACACATGAACGGGTGCTCCTCCAGGGAAACCAAGAAATGAATGCGTTTATTTATATATAAAGATATGAATTAGAACCCACCATAATTAACACCATTAAGCGTAAGCTGCGGTAAAACGGTGTCCTACATTTTTGTGTTAGCATGCTAATGTTAGCGCTCTTCAGTTAGCTCGTAGCTTCATATAGAACATAAAGTGCTATAAGACACTTAAGTGACATCCAAATAAGCAGTGTGTATGTTATTCTTCTTTTCTCCAGTCTTTGACGAAAACAGCTTCATACAAAAGGCCGTCCCGTCCAAGTAACCAAACCCATGACAACAACACATCCAGCGGGACTCGAGCTTCTCATTCACTGTAGACAGTCATGACTCAGATAGACATTTACAAGATGGATAGACTTGATTTCTGCTGTATTTGTGTGTAAAATATCGCACATTCTGCCTTTAAATATGCGTCTAAAACAATAACCATCAGTGAGCTGTGTTTGTGTGTCAGAGGGTCATGGAGGTCTGCTTTGAGTTTTACAAGAAATCAGATGTCCCTGTGTTCGCATAATGGTGGCCATAAAGCTTTGAATATTTTCCTGCACGAATAGAAAGAGAGCTTGGAAGGGCTTCAGTCACCCGTCAGTACAAAACATTTCATTTTGTGGCATTTTCACAACCTTTATATCTACTCTGCATACGTATTTTTACTTTTTCTTTTTTGACAGATTTACATCAAGAACGGAGTGTGCTGATACTCAGGTATTGGCTCCAAGATGGAGCATGTGTATCATCACACTAAAGGCCTGCCGGGAATATGTTATGAGAGATTGTTCCACCTGTTTGAAAAGCAGCAGCGATGCAGATCCAGAACCAGAGACCAGGGACAGAAGACTTGCAATGACCTCTGCACAGAAACACGTCTGAATTCAGAGTGAAGAAGCACATGGAATACAATCGACCCATGAAGGGTGCAGAGAAACAGTTGCTGAGGATGTAAATGGACATAAAAGATGAGCAAGTGAATGTGGACATGCATATAAGAATCACATTATTAAAATAAACACTGCGTGGATGAATATTTATGGGTGTCAGAGCCGGAGCAGATGAAAAGAAATGAATACAGAGGATTTAGTGGTGGCTGTCAGGAGAGTGAAGGAGATGAGACAAAGAGAAGGCAGGCAAGAAATAAAAGGTATGAGTGAGAGAGACGACATTAGGAGAAAGAACAGAAGGAGATGACGGGAAAGGTGATATTGGGGTGTAAAAAAAATACGAGCATCGGTAGGTGAGGAAGGCAGACGCCACTCTCCTCCTTTTCCCTGGATAACAGGACAAAGCTGCTCCAAGACACTCCTCCTCTTCCTTTTAGTGTCCACATAACACGAGGGAATCAGGTGCCTCAGAAATACCAAAAAACACCATCCTGTCTACACCTCCACCCACCAATCACACCTCTGCTGCCCCCTCCGTCACCCCAATCCTCCAGCTGTCATCCTTCAGGTCATTATTCCATTCAGCGGGCCCAGCACCCCAGACGGTCAAATCACCTCCACAAAAGACGGAGGAGTCGCAGAGTCTGTCCTGTTGTAATATTCCTGTCCAGTCCAGCGGGTTTGATCATGGCTAAGTCCTCAATCTCTCCATCCCGGGGCCTCTGGGACAGAAATACTTCAGGAGGTAGAGCTCTGGAGGAATACAAACTGAGCTGTTTAAAGCCTGACAGCCTTCACAAGCTGCTGATGTTTCCTCGAGACGCTGATCCATGGAATATGGTTAGTGTGTTAACATGCTCACTCAAATCCTGAGGCCTTCATTAAGAAATAACATCAATCTATCCAGATATCATTTTGTTATGTGGCATTATTAAGGCTTACAAACCAATATGCTCACACAGCTTTGTTTATCAGCTCTGTAAGTCAACCCAGGGTTCGCTGATATAGCCATGAGCGTG